CTTACTATATACTACTACTAGTTATACTATATAATAATACTAGATCTCAGACACAGTCTGTGTGTGTGTGTGTGTGTGTGTGTGTGTGTGTGTGTGTGTGTGTGTGTATATGTATGTGTAAAAGTTACAATGAGGTTCTAGTTACATAAGTACACATCCCACTGTGTATAATCTATATATATAACACTGGATGAGCTGAAAGTTAAGAAATGCAGTCTTGAGAGCCTTTAAACAAACTTTTAATTATTTATTAGCTCATTTTCATAATATAGAATATCTTGCAAAACAATGATCTGATCAAAGATGATCAGAGCAGGCTGATCACAGGAAAACATGGAGCACACTATGTATTCAGTTTCTATCCCCTTTGTAGCATTAAAACCCCCCAAAAAATCTCATTTTCAAATATCTTAAAAAAATCTTTTTATGTAAATGACACAACAAGCAAATTTAGAGAACTATCTACAATTTTTTTTATATTTCCAAAAATCTAGGTATTTTTTTTATATTTTCACATGGTAGTGTTACAAAACAAACAGGTGTTCAATTTAAACTTGATACATGTAGAAATTCAATATAACACTGTACTTCTTGGCATAGCAGCTCCTACTTTCCTTGTTTTTAATAACAAATAACTCAATTAGTGGCATTCTTGCAAGCAATAATAGCCTCTTCACCAACAGCAGACAATACTGTCACCTAGTGGATAAAATACAAAATCAAGATGGAGTAGTAGTTTCATCAGTGGTAGACTTAAACATGATACTCAAACTTTCAAGCACAAGTCAAAGTTTTTCTTATGAAACTTTGAAATTAAGTCATTTGAACAGATTATTTACAAAGTTGAAAAATTAAAAAAGTACTACATGTACCAAAAAAATGAGAAGGGGGAACTTTTTTTTTAGAGTAATAAACATTCTCAGTGGGAATGTACTAAAGCAGCACTGATGCAAGCAACTAATGTGTTTGAGTGTTCCATAAGTATTGTATACTCTACTTCTTCTTTAACCCATTGACTGCTGATTTGCCCAATACGGTACGGTCTGCCTCCCGCAGTTGAATGAGAGTATGCTGTATACGGTGCGTTTAAAGCAGCCACAGTCAATGGTAAATGTTAATTTAAATAACAACATTGGTTAGAATGTTAAATATCTACTTCTTTACCTTTTTATTGTTATACTTAAAGATTATTTTGCATTTTTACTTTAGTCTACAAATTTAGGACTAAGCTATCCAAATCTGTTGTTAAGGATTTATGGCTTAAAATATCTGTAATAGTAAAAGTACCAGCTAGTGAAACAATGTATTCTAATCTTTATAAGCAAAAAATGTATTTAACTTGTAACAGTCATTACCAGGTTAATTTTTATTTTTTGATCAAAATAGGTAGCTTGCTGCTGAAGTAAATATTAATAACATAATGCACACAAGTATATGTTATAGCGACTGGTTACGCACACATCTTTCACATCAATCTGACTTAAAATTTACTAACTTTAGCACATACATTAAGCAAGCAATTAATTTAAATTCCCTTTTTTTTATCACTGGTTAGCTTGTTTTTTGTTTTTTTTTAATTGTTCTAAGCAAACAATTACTCAGTTACAGAACTGTTAACTGTTCCCATCCACCAGTAAGCCTATTTCTTTTTTCTCTGGTAATTCTAATTTTAGTATGGCTTTTTAATTTTTTTTGCTTACCTATTACTTAAATTTATGTAACAGAAAAATAGGTGTTCAAATAGGGTAAAATTAATTCTGTTTACACTTTGATGACTTTTTAAATTAATTAGTATATCAACACTACAGACGGTAAAGGTTGTTAACTTATCTTTTGAAGTTTACCCTATGTTTTGATATAGGTACAGGTATGCTTTTCAGCACCAAGATATCTCTAAATCCATTTTGAAGTTTGAAAGTAGCCACCTCAATGCACTTTTAACAAACGATTATGAAGAAAAAATAAATACCAACCCTTTTTTTTTATTGATTTTTAGAACTTGAATTTTGACATTGCAAAATAACTAAATACTAAAGCTTACTCATTAAATTGTTTGTTTGTAATTAAGCACACAGCTACACAATGGGCTATCTGTGCTCTTCCCACCACCAGCACATTACATTCCACCCTTTCATTACAGGCTGGGTGGAATCCACCCAGCTCGTAAACACAAAAGTATCCATGAGAGTAATTATACCATGATTTTTGATAATGTATGCATACCTTTACAAAATTTTGTAGGTTACTGGTAAACATTACAATGCTTTCGTACAGAGAATATCAGGTTTTTAAATAAAGTATTAAGATTTTTTAATTAAAGATTTTCTCATAAATTTTTTCGTTCAGAATGTTGACTAACCAACATACAAAGTAATTTTAACTTTAAGATTAAAAATATTTTTATGCATTAGACATTTTCAATTTTCATATGCGAAATCCTTATAACCTCCAGATAATTAAAAAAATTTTTTTTAAATTTATATTTTATCTGTTATTTTCAGCACTGTATCTCTGTACGTTCAATTTCAACAACTTTGTAACCTCAATACAAAAATTAGGAATAAATATAAATTATGCAATGCTTCTTTCATTCTAGAACGACTACAAATAACATGAAAACAAAAATGTTTAGTCTAAATAGCTTAAATTTCAGAACATTATACATTTATATATATATATTTATTTTTATTATATTGACCTTTCACAGCCTTGCCTGGCTAATATTATCGAAGTTGCAATGATGCAGCTCACATGCACTAATGTTACTGTATCCAAGATTACAAAACTGGCCTTTACAAAGCAACTGGTCTTGGCTGTGGTTTAGTGGACTAGTATTTTGTAAAATACAGTCACATTTCACATATAATACATTATTATTATTTACAAATAAGTTCTTTAAGTTACTTTTCTTAAAACATAGAACAGTAAATAAAGAATTATAGAAAATAATTATATCTTTCAGTTACAAACTTTACACTTGTTTGCTGCTGCTGTAGATTGCCAAGCCTTATCAAATTTCATATGTGGACGATGTGAAACGAAATTTTAGGTTTTATATATACATTTGAAATAACCATAAAATCATAAATTAATATATTGATACCATAGAATTCCACTATAATTTATCAAGCTTAAGTAACTAAACTGTGTTTGGGTCTAAAACAAATATGAAATTTTGAGCAGACTAGACTCATCTTACCATCTTGATATCATAATACTTCAAAATGGCTGAGAAAGCCACTAGGGGGGGACATTCTGAGCTTTTGATTGATTATTCACATGTCGGAGACAGAAGTACATATGGGAGTGTTTCCAAAAATGGAAAGAGGTGGACAGGGCCACTGTGTGTGTGTTTCAGTACATGAGGATATCTCAGCAAATAAAAGAGACAGTAGGAGGTTCGTATTTTATATTCTAGCTTGTCAATATCAGTAATTTGAGTTCCTAATTCACAAGAAACTATAGACTTAGTATTTTCACATCTCAAACATCTAATTTGAACCAGTGCTGCATTCGTCATACCACGTGACACACAAAAATCAATATTTAGGATTTCTTTTTTTAATATTTACTATTAAATTAAGAAATTAACTAAAGGATCATACTAAATTTGAATTATAATTTACAATTTGATACCAAACTTATTAACATACATTCATAAAATAGTAGTTCAATAAAATTTTGAATGAGAGTCTACAAATGCGATGACATGGCCTTTGACCCGTAGAGATAGGGTTAAACTAGACAATTTTGAGTGTGTGTGCTAAATACAAAATATTTACTAAAATGCAGTAATAACATCCCAAAATGCGTAGTATATTAACCTGTTGAAGTACTGACTAGAAAGTAAGAGGAAATAATTTAGATTTTTTGACAAATCTCAAATGGAAAGACCCTGTATTCTACATTTTGCGTGCAGGTTTACCTAACAATGGTAGCAAAATGAGAACACCTTGTTATACACACACGCACCAAAATAAAACTATTTACACTTATTTGTAGCAAGTATGTGTTCCAAATAAACTCTTTCTCTCAACACATTAAAAAAACATCATAATGGTGAAAAAAGCCTGAATAATGCGATTGTTTTAGATTTATGACAATAAGTAAATTTTATAATATAGTGAATTCAGCTACTTACAATAACAGATGCATCATCTTTACCAAAGTCCTCTCTTATTTTTTGTCCCAGTTCTCCATCTGGTAGTTTCAGATCATCTCGAGTATCGCCTTTGTCATCCATCAGTGAAACATAACCATCATCGCTGATGTCAATAAGCTATTTGTAATTTAGGAGAATTATGTGACCAGTGAAAAAAAAAGTTCAGAACTATGCCTAAAACTTATGTTTTTATAAAACACAAATCACTTTGGTTTGGCGTTCAAAATAATTATCAAGTGCCATGAATGATTTTTTACATGTATAGTTAAACTCAAGGTAATACTGAATCAAATTTCAATCATTTAGAATTCTTGGCAAATAAAATTTTAAACATCTCATACATTTAAATGAAAGCCTGACAATTTTTATATAAAATTATATAGTTGTAAATGTTTTTGTTATTAAGATTTGAATTACAGTTGAATCTTTAATCAACTCTAATAAACCTAATTTATTGATTTTCCAGCAAACTAAATCTATCTTACGAAAGATAAATTATTAAAAAGACTAAAAAAAAAGAAGAATTAGTATATTTCTTAACCTCTAGAAAATGTGCTTTGCATCGGTAATACAAATAGCAACTTATTTGTCACTTTAAGAAAAAAACATTTACTAATTTTCACACAAAATACTAAATCACTTCATCACTAGTTGTTTCTCCTTTCAATTTTAATAATAGCATACCTGAAAATCACTGCGATTAACATTGGGAACATCAATGTTATGAGTTGAAGGACACAAATCTTCATATTTTTTATTGGTGTAAATGTCTATGCCAACAAGATGTACCTAGGAATAAAGTTAAAAAATTTAAATTATAAATGGAAATACATTAAAATAAACTATGCATGGTATGGTAACTTCATTATTACATTCTTATTATAGAAAACAATTCTTTAATTATGAGGTTTCTTTATTTCTATAATAGGAAAGCTATGAGTAAAGAAAGTATTAAAAATCATTTTCCAATACTTGAAAGTTATATTTCCCAGGACATGTTATATAATTTTTTCATGATTCTGTACAAACAAAATTGACACCATTGTCATACAATTGAGTAAATGTTTCATTTTTATATCATAAGAAAACAGAGAAAAAAATAAAGTCAATCCAAGTGGTAATCAACTTGTATTTGTTCATTTCAGAGCAAGAATGTCCAGCTCATCCTAGTCTTGTTGTTTCTTCTTTCTTTGAACTGTTCTGTACTTTCCTCAGTTCCACTACATAAATATGACATCTCCACCTGCCTTGACATTCAGATGTCACAAAGGATTTGTTAACATTGACCTTATGAACTCCCCCAGCATTTTTGACTTAGTCATTTGTGTTTTCAACTATAATTTACCAGTTAAGGAAAAACCTGTTTCAACACTGATTTGGCTGTGAGAAAGAATAAGGAGAATTTTCACAATATTCCACAGCTCTTAGTATTTGCTGTCCTCTCCTCCTGGTATACTTAAAAGTAAATGATGATCCAAGTAGCCTGCTCTGTGATTGAATTCCTAGAAAATGCTGATACTTTCATTGTTGACAATTTCCACAACAAGGCATCAGACTCAGATTTACACTGCTATTTTAGCTTCAGTAAGTCTGCTGCAACCTGATTATCTTTAGTTGCCACTTGTGCATAAAGACAAGACAGATTTCTAGCCACCAGTTTTAACTGTCATTTTCTGCAGGAAAGTTAGAACTTCATTCTACAATAAATAAGTAGCCTGTCAGTTATTTCGTTTTCCATTTTCAGTATTTTAAATTGACTGTCAACTGAAAAACTCAAACTTATGATTAATCCATGTTATATCTTCTTTACCCCAGTTTTTAACTTTGCGAGTTTTACAGTTGTGGTTCCTGGCTGTACCACATAGGCCTTCACAAAATGCTTCATTAAAGAAGTTATCTTTTGGAGAAAGATGTCCAAGAAGCTATCATTTTGGAAAAATGACAAGGAGTGAAACAGTTTTACCATAGACTCAAAGGCCATCTTTGCAAGAATCAGAGCATTTCTCATTGTTTTGAAGAAGTTTGATTTTGGTTTGATTAACATCTTATTTTAAAGGCTTGACATACTTCACAACTGAAGGACATATCTCTAGGACAGAAACTACACTTTTTAGTCATTTATACCTATGAAACTTCAACAGACTTGCTAACAGCCAGTATAGTGATAACAATATATCACCAACTTTCATCTCAGATGCTTTTTTTTGCCATGTTTGGAAGTGCTGTGAACAACCCAAATCCCACATGATCCAATGTGTAGTAAGCCTTTTGAAACGACAGACTCACATATTTCATCAGTGATAAGACTATGTGGCTTCCAATTAAGACTGATTGTAAGAATCTACGTGAAATTAAATAAAAATGTAATATCTGCTACAACCACTGCTGATAAGGCCTTTCACCAAATACCAGGATTCATCAGGAGTCCATTCATTAAGATTTGCAACACTTTATCAAGTTCCAAATTATTGTCTTTAATTTTGTAAGTTATCTTAGGCAGCATGCCAATAACCTCTATTCAGGCCAGAAATTCTGAATTTAAGCATTTTGTGATTTGTTTCTTATTCATTACCCAAAGCATAAGTGTATATCCATTTGTTTTGTTCAACCAACTTATCAAACATTGCTAAACTAAGACAAACAGAAACTAGAAGTATGGCACAAGACCAAATAATAATGTTTCCTCTTTCCACCAGCAAACCTTTTTGCAATGGTTGAATCTAGAAATATTTAGGCAAACAGATATGTCAGGTTTTTACAACTTTTATACCTGTAGTAATTGTAAATAACCTTCATAAAGCCTCTGCTGTCAATCACTCATTTATGATAACCACATAAACATTCAAATCTGTACATCTGTAAATAAAAATAAATTGCAAGAACCTTTAAAATAAATGATACTATCATAGCAGTAGAGTAAAACATTAGATAGCACACAATGAGTTCCTACAAAATGGTTAATGCATACTTGAATAGCACCCCTGGCTATAAATAAATTGAAATATTCTGCTTGTTCAACACCTTTTAATTTGGTAGCAATCTATTACTACAAATCTTCAGTTATTTTTCCAGTATAGTTTCAACATATTTAATTTGCATATTACATCAAAAATCACATCACTGGCAGTTAACATTTCACCCAGCTGACGGATGGGTGCAAACATGTCACAAGACAAGCTAGTAAAAATCAGGTCATACGACTTATGTGAACTGCTCAAGATGCTCTACTTAAAGTTGTTAGCAGACAAGTTCAATATATATCCTAAACAGGGATGGATTAATAATGTAACACTAGCTCATAAAGTGATGTTTTTGAGTGTCTTCAAATTTACAGTATATACACTGTTAAATATACTCAAATTATTTATCAAATACCAAAAAATATTGATCAACTAAAACAGAAATATATTTGTGATTACACACACACACACAACTCATTTCTATTTACTTGTATGCATTAGTCTTGCATTTATTTGAAATTAACACTGCATTTAAGCAAATGTGGTTCCTTTGCTTCTTCTGGTAATATATACTCAAATCAACAGTCCTTGTTGTACCAACAGTAACCTCAAGCTCTGTGCAAATGTAATTAAGGAAGAAATATGAAGGTTAAGTAACACCTTTTCTTTTTCATCAGAACATCACTTAAAAATTGTTTAACACTGACCACCTAATTAATCAATTAATTAATTTTTCCTTACAACAGTTAATATTACTAAAAGATAATAACAAATATATTACATTTATAACTATTAATAATTATTATTAATGAACCTTAACATGTTAAAAGGACTAAAATAAAAATTAGAAAACTAACATGTTATTGTCATCCAAAATGGCATTTCTACTCAATTATGGTGAGTTATTATGCATCCTAGCCAGTTTCATGTAATACCATAGTGAAGATTTTCCATTAGCACTCTTCAACAACCTTAACATGTTGTTATAGAGTGGTCTTGCCAATATTAAAAATACCTATTGATTTGCAACACAAAGGACATCAAGCTTCTTGACCTGATGATCTTGAATGTTCAATCCACTTTCTATAATTGTTATGGGTCATCCATGCATCTTGAAGTTTCGATGCACACAGCATTTTTATACACAAGTTATCCCTAGAGAATTTTAACTCTGTAAATATACTGGCAGAATTCCACCCATCTTGGTAACACTCAGATTTTTCCATAAGTGTGAAATCTAATTCTTAAACAACATGTTTTACGAAGTTAAAAAAAATATACACTTCAAATAAGGTATGTTCAATTTCTTATGAAATCTTAAGTTAAATTTTCAGTTATATCTATCAATATTCCATAATTCATGAAAGTTTTATAATTCTATATTTTATAAAAGTTTTTATTTGTTTTGTAGATTATTTCATTACTTATATATATAAACATACATTATGAATAAGTGAGCACCACAGCATGACATCTGCAAATTACAACACAGCTCTGCTACTGAAATACACAATTTGTTTACTTACAAAAAAGAAGAAAGAAAGAAGAGAGAGAGAATTTATAAAATTAAAAAATTATCAAACAAAAAATAGAGGCTTTAAAATAAATATTCAAGATGCATTATAAGGCCAAGAAAATGAAATACTAAGATTTGGTTTGTTGTGAATTTCGTGCAAAGCCACATGAAGACTATTTGGGTTATCTGCCTAATTTAGCAGTGAAAGGCCAGAGAGAAGGTAGCTAGTCATCACCACCCACCTCCAACTCTTTTACCAATGAACATTGGGACTGACCATTACCTTATAACGCCCTTATGGCTGAAAGGGTGAGCATGTTTAATAGGATGGGGATTCAAACCCGCGACCCTCAGATTGCAAGTCAAGCTCTCTAACCACCTGGCCATGCCAGGCCAAAATATTGAGAATTCCATAACTTCCACAACATGTATGAACACTACAAATAATTCTCTTATTCCAAGTTCCAGAGATTCATTTCATACTTTAATTAACTTTTAATGATAAAACACTAAAAACAATCAAAACATTGCTTCTTGATGTATATGATAAACAATATAGCATACACAAAACATCTATAATGTTCTGTATGAAAGATTAGCCTATACGACACAACAAAAACTAATGGTAATGGTACATAGAACAAATTTACTACTCACATCTTAGGACAAGTGTAAATTTAAAATGAATAGTCTGAACTATGTGTGTCAGTTGAAGTGTGTTCACTAACAGTCAAATTACATGTATGTGCATTTATCAGGAAGCATGATGAGTAAATACACTTATATAATTATGGGTGCATTATCATAGCAACGTTTTGCATAAAATGTTCTCCTACATGTATCCACAAGCAAGGATCGAAATATTACATTCCCAAGGAATTTAACTTTGCTTAAGAAATTTCATCTTTTTAGTTAGCTTTCCTGATCAGGAATGCATGGTCTATCCATATTCCTTTACTTATGACCAATGAAAGTGAATATATTGCATGGATTAAATTTTAAGAAATTCACGAGGAAATGCAACTTAATACGAGGAGATGTAATCTTCCTGATAGCTTTCCCTCTAGTGAATGTAATTTTATTTCATTATTTCTATTTCTGCTATAAGGGAGCATGTTGAGTAATTATTAAATTTAAGTTTCATTGTTTCCGGACCTTCTAAAAATTATGTTGGTCAACACAGTTGATTCTAATCAGTATGAGACTGACGACAATTGAACCCCCACTACACTTAGGAAGTTACCTAGACATAGCTAAGCATTCTAAACATTACAGAAGTTAACAATTACTACTTTTGCACAATAAATGACAACAGATTGTGGAACAGAAGCAAAGAAATAGACTTTCAGTTTTCAAAACAAAAGTAAGTTTTAATGCCATGTACAATCTTTGTCCCACAAAGTCTATCAACAGACAAATAGTGCTTTGCAAGTAGTATAAAGCAAAGCAATAAAAAACAACTACACTGAATTTTATTTTTAGCAAGAAGTAAAACTTAGTAAATAATGTGTACCACAACCAGATAAGCCACTGTTCACTTGCATCACAATCAAAACATCACACAATGATTTAGGGCTAGAATTTTAGTATGTAAAAACCCTTAATGCTTCTCAAATGCTGTTACCTAAAAAATAAAATTGATTTCTTACCTTTGCGTGACCATGTTTTCCAGTTTTTGAAGTGCTCATTTCCATAATTTTACAGGGGCGATTCTTCAGCATTACATAGCCATTTTTACGCAAGGAGGAGCACTGAACTGGGTAAGTGTGTGAAGCACCAGCACTTGCCTTGTCATAAACAGTATCATCTTCCATTTTAATCTATGCTGGTAGCTCTGAAATCAGTGAAGATCAGAATGTATTATCAAATACAACATCCCATAGAAAACTGACATTTACTTGTCTTGAAAACACTTCAAACAAAACTTATGTTCACATCTTCCTGGAACTGTTGACACTATTTGCCCTACAGCACTCTTAAACTTTGTGTCAGTGACTTATATGAGCATCATTAATGTTAACTTATGAACAAAATATGTTACATAGATCAAAGCTAAAAATTACCCAGTAACAAATAGCTAATTCATATCACAACTGATATACCAGGAGTCTAGATATAAGAGTAAGAAAGAAAAACATATACCCAAAAAACAAACTATGGATACAGTACTTTCTGAATTGTCAAGAAATAAAAATTATGTAATGGTAGCTCCTGCTTTATTTATTTATCTTTTAACTATGTAAGTAAGTCCAAGTACGTTAATAGTCTTACCAATTGGGAAAACTTCGCTTGTTAAACAAAAACTTACTATGTTAAACTTCTGAAATTAAGAGAGAGATCAACTTAAAACTAAAATGTTGAGCCTCATGATTTGTTTAACTTATAAACTTAGTTAAGACTTGGAGACTAGCACTACCAGCAGCTCAAACTTCAACAGAGTTCAAGTTCATAATTGGCTCATTAAATTTAGTAGGCTACCATACAAAGGTATGGGGAGCTACAAGTAAAAAAACCAGGTTGGCTCACAAAGAGTTTAAGAGATAAAATTAAAGAAAAGCAAATATAAATTGACCAGTATGACAGGAGATTTAGAACATTATTGAAGATAAAGAAAGTAGGTGAAACAGGAAATTAGGACATAAAAAGGATGTAAGAGAAATGGTTGGCTGAAAATGTAAAAATTAACAGTAAGGATTTCTTTAAATACATTAAGGGTAATCAAAATGTTAGGATGGAAATAGGACCCTTAAAGGATGATAAAAGAAGGCTAGTATCTGTTGATTATAAGATGGCTGGGTTATTAAGTTTTACTTTTTCTTTAGTTTAAGCAATATTCCACATCTTGATCAGTTGATAAATGGAAACAAGTTCAAACAAGATGACTGCATTAATTCTGATCTGGTTAAGAAAAAATTGGGAAGTTTAAAAACGATAAGGCTCCTGGGTCAGATAATATTTCCCCAAGGATTTTGAAGGAGGTTAAAGATTGGATATGTGAGCCACTTGCTAATTTTTGTCAGTCCTTGAATAGTACCAGAGGATTGGAAGTTAGCTAATGTAACTCCTCTTTTCAAGGGAGGTGATAAAAATTGTCCCAGTAATAATAGACCCATTAGTTTTACATCAGTTGTGGGAAAAGTTTTGGAAAGTCTGATAAAAGATGTTTTGCAAAGTCATTTAACAAAGTTCAGAATTTTATTGGATAGTCAACATGGTTTCACTAAGGGAAAAATCTTGCCTTACAAATCTTTTAACATTCTTTGAACAGGTTACTGCTTATGTAGATGAGGGTAAGGGTGTAGATTTGGTGTATCTGAATTTTCAGAAAGCATTTGACATGGTGCTACATGAAAGGTTTGTAAAAAAAATCAACTCTAAAGGTGTGGGAGATAAATTAGCAAATTGGATAGAAGAGTGGCTGGATGGAAGAATGCAGAAGGCTGTTACAAATGGAGTTCAGTCAAACTGGATTAATGTCACAAATGGGGTACCTCAGGGCTCAGTCTTTGGACTATTGCTCTTTTTGATTTACATCAATGACATAGATGAAGGGAGAGTCAATAAATTACTTCAATTTGCAGATGAAATTAAGGTGTTGGGTGTTGCTTAGCTGTGAAGAAGATGCTGCTAATTTACCAAAGGATTTAAATCACTTAGTGAGTTAAGCAAATAAATTACACATAGGTTTTAATTATAATGCATATTGGTTGTCGTAATTTGAATTATAAGTATAATTTGGATGGGAATAACCTTAATAGTGTTACGAAGGAAAGGGATCTTGGTGTAATAGTCGAACAGTCTCTAAAGCCTCCAAACAGTGTTCTGTTGCTAGTGGTGGGGCAAATAGGATTTTAGGTTGCATCTATAGAAATATTGAATACAAGTCTCAAGAGGTTATACTTTTATTGTACAGGTCACTGGTTAGGCCCCATTTCAAATATTGTGTTCAGTCTTGGGCTCCTTACCTTAAGTAAGACATTCAGTTGTTAGAAAGGGTTGGAATATAAGACTTACAACATAAATTACAAATACAAATTAACTATGACAAGTAAATATGATGTAAGGTCTGGAGTCTCACTCAAGGTAAAGCAAAACAAGAATGTTTCCCCTCATAAAATGGATGAAGAAAATAAACCACCTAGCCATGAAAGGTCTTCAAGCCAAATGGGCATCGACACAAGCAACCAGAACTGGCATTAGACCAGTTTTATCGACAGTAATGTGCAGTGTTGAAAATATTCCTAAAAATGCAGTCAAACAGATATGAGACAAGAAAATCTTAAAGAACTAGAACACTGACCAGAAACTACAACCTGTGATGTTTTTACAACCAAACCATCTTTGTCACCCATTAATACATCAAAGTATGATACTACTTGGATAAAAGTCTCATAGATTCACCTATGGTTTTGGACACAACCTGTACGAGTGAAGATGTGCATGATACTGAAAAACTGGTGGCTAGGAATATTCTATTTGTACTTGAATATGCCCAATATATCTATCCAAATCTGTTAGATTCTGAGAAAAAGTTTTGTCCTAAGCCTAACTGAATGCAAAAACAACCAGATATTACCCATGGGATGAGGAGTATCTTGGTGGATTGGTTGGTAGAAATGGCAAAGGTGTATAAGCTACACAAAGAAACGTTGTACCTAGCTGTATTCTACATTGACAGATTCTTTACAAGTTGCAACTGGTTGGAACAACAAGCATGTTTATAGCAGCAAAATAGATTTATCCATTTGATGTAGGTGAATTTGTATAAATATATTACTGACGACACTTACACCAAGAAGCAAGTTTTACGTATGGAACACCCAATAATAAAGATGTTATCTTTTGACTTAGCTGTTCCTACAATTAATTACTTCCTTTAGAGGTTTTGTTATATTGGCCAGGATTCCTGAAATAGTTGAGTATTTGGCTAAGTATTTATGTGAACTGTCCTTGGTGGAAGGGGACCAATATCTTCATTTTCTAACTAGTGTCATAGCAGCTGTTGCAGTTTGTATGACTAATCATACAGGTGGAATGACTCCTTGGGATAAACATTTTGCTACATCTTCTGACTATGCATATGAGGATATTCAAGAATATGAGATGTTTATATGATAGTATTCACAAGGCTCCTAGTTCTCCTCAGCAGGCTATTAGAGGGAAGTATAAATTTTCAAAGAATCACAGCGTCCTTGATGCCACCAACACAAACAATACTATACAAGATCTAGACCTATATATATATATATATATATAAAAACTTCATTCAATATATTCTCAAACAGCTAAAGATAAAAGCCAGCAAATAATTATAAGACACATAATTATAGCATTTATGTGCAAAACCAAGCAGAAACAATGGATACAAATCCTTGAGTTATTTGTTATACAGCATAAACAAGGTGGACTAGTAAGATTAATGTGTTGCCTTCACACACTTTAACACAAACTGAGTAGATCATCATAAAAAATACTTTTCAAAACTTGGATAAGTTTGAAAAATCTACATACAGACCATATCCACCTCTCACACAGCTCTTGGGTGTCCATAGTTGTACTACAAGCAAATTTTGGTACCATTTGGTTGGACATTTTTTAGTAAATATCACAATAATGTTATATATAATACCAACAATAGGGCTTAAAGTAGCAGTCCAAAAACCGGATATACTCATAAAAAGTGGATTCTACATTCAGTCAAATGCAATCGACAGATGTCATCTGCACTGGAGTTTCAAAGAAAATTGACAAGGTGGGTCTTCTAAGGCCTGAGGGATTTGTCTTAGATATTATATTAGTAAAGGTTAAACATTTAAAAGTTAAGCTAACTAGTGAGCCTCCTTATTAGATATCATTTAAAAAGTAGTGTTAAATCATCAATCATGTTCAACCCACATTTGATTTGGGCTGACAGTTTTTATGGCTATATCAAAAAATGTATTTTAAAACCTTCTAACAATTGATGTGTGTGTCAACAACTGTAAAATTTCACTTAGTCACATTGCCAGAGATTAAAATGTTGCAGCTGAGCCACATATTCTTCAATCATGCCAGAAAAAAACAATCTTATCCTTCGCATTAATGGGTAAGTACTAAAAATATGTACTTTTGTTACTAGGTCTTCTTTATCTTTTTTTTTAAATTAGACCTGGTTTGTTATTTTAAAAAATTAAACAAAAAGTGGTACACAAGCCTGAAACATTTGAGAACCACTGGCCTAGGCAACTAACCAAACAAGTTGAAGCTGTGCTCTCATCCCCATTTCCTGATACTTCATCTGGGTATGCCATGCAGCTCAAAGGGTAACAAAATCAGCAGGGCAGGTGATATAATTTGGTTAATCCTAGGTATAGTAACTTTCTGTACTCAGAATCTTGCAATATAAATTATTGAAATGCAATTACTGCAGGCTTAATGATACTCAATAGTAAGAATCTGCCAATCTTTTTAAATGTGTACTAACGATTGTTTTCTAGCACCTGTAAAACTAACCACCAATTTGCTAGTATTAATTTCGGGCTTCACTATATATACTTTTTTTTTTATTAGATTTCTGCTATGGTGATTTTCTTTGCCATTCAAGTAACTACTTATGATGATAAAGCCTAATAAACAATGGCCTTGTTAGCAAAATGAAACATGATGCAATCAATTGCAAAATAACTAAACCTACCTTATCTTCTTCCACAAACAAATATTTTTTTTTATCATACCACAACATCATAATTCAAATGAAATATAAATTTATAAAGGTATATTTTGGAAATGTTAAAAAAATTAATTAGGACTGTATTTGTGGGGAATGATGTTCGTAAACATTTTTCTTCAAGTAACATACCACCAAGCCAAGCATTTATCACTTTTTCTGATAGTTATGCAAGTCTCTATGGAACTGGTAGCCAAATTGGTTTATATAGTTGAAGGAAAAAAAAAAGCTTTCATTACTTATATTACTTCTCAAAGCTCAGATTGGTTAAAATAAATAAAACTACACTTGTACTGAAGCTACAAGGTTCAAATTGACACTTTTTTTTTGTTTGAAATTATTTTGAATTTCTTCCTAGAGAGTACAAGTGCTGTATGATGTTCATAAAAAATAAAGAAAATTCACAAACACTAGCATTTCTGCTCCAGGTGTACTGAAATCAACCCAAAAACAAAATTAGCATTTTTATGCACAAAATTAAAACTTATTATTCAATAAACTTCAATATAATTTTTCTATATATTATATATATAATTTTTTTAAATTCCTTCATGCAATTTTGCTCTCAGGCAACGGGTGCTTTTTGTTGCCAGTGTGCAAAACTTTTAGGTATTTCAAACTGCACTGAGAATGTTGATGCAATATATAATTATCAAGATCAATTTTAAGTTCAGCAGATATTTGGCAAATTACATTAAATTATAGTACATGCAAGGTAATGCATATGGATTATCATAATTTGAATCACACATATAATACAGGTGGGAACAACTCAAAAGCATGATTGTAGAAAAGGGATTGTGGTATAGTGATGGATAAGTCACTCAAACCCTCAAGATAATGCTCTGTTGCTAGTAATAAAGTTAACAATTTTTAAATACAGTTACAGAAAAAATGATAAGTTAAACAAGTAAGGTCTCACTTGGAATACTGTGTACAGTTTTAATCTACTTATATAAGAAATGATACTGTTTCATTAGAATGGGTTAAGAGGATGGCTAATATAGTGATTCTAGGAATAGGAGTTATATTAAAGGGATAGAATAAGATCTTAACTTATTTTCTCTTTATAAAAAGAGAGAAAAAGATAATCTTGTTTAATTAGAGCTGGGTAGTTAATTCGATTATCTATTACACTGATTAGTCATGTACACTACTCAATGGAAATTGATTAAGTTAATTAGTATCATAGTCAACTATTCAAATCATCATCCTTGAATTTTCCAACTGTCATTCAATGCAATTAATTAATCTACCCCCCCACCCCCGATGTGCTTCTCTTAACTAATCTTCTAAAGTATATCCTATCAAAAGCTTTACCCAAAATACCTAATAATTTATTTTGTCTGAAAACAGTGTAATATGACACCTATAATAATTTCAAACCTTAGAATCCCAAGGAATTTTTAATCTCTCCTTTATTTGTTATGAAGCATGTAAAACATATGAATTACAAAACTAGTATTATTTACATTTTCTCAGCATGTCTGCATACGTATTCTATGAATACTCCAAGTATAGGATTGATATCAATAAAAAAAAAAAAAATTAGAAAAAAATTAAAACTGCCCACAGATAAATATATCTTTGGCAAAAAAGACTAATTAAAACCAAACACCTAAAACACTAATTCACTTGACCTGCAGAAAAATTAATAAATAAGAAAAGGGAAGAAGAGGTTCCAAACCTTCTTTTGGTCTTTTAAGGGTTAAGCTAGAGCTTTGCAACCAACTTACTTGTCTACTATTCTTGCCTACCTGTCCTTAATCTTCTAGATCTACATATATGAAAAGAAATGTAATAATAATAATGTGTATTTTTTATGTAAAAAGACACCTTCAGGGAAACCCAACCAAAAGTAGTAATTCATGATAACTTTCAAGTGCATAAGCCTAACTACTTATAATTCTTATGTAATCTCAAAATCCATGACCATATGAAACAATTTTACATTGGGCTTGAAAAGTATTCAAACATGATTTAGAAGTTACCTTAAAGCCAGCCAACATTAAGCTACTTTGTACCTATTTTTTTTTTTCAGTTTTGACTTGGATGTTTTCAGTAAGGTTGAGTCTAGTACAAAGCTGCAAAATAAAAAAATCAGCACTACACATGCTTAATAATTAATATTTTTAAGTGTGAAATACTAATCATAACTTTATATGACAATAATTAAAGAAATCCCAGCAAAATGAAAAAATTCATACCAATTTATTGAATGTTTGTGACTCATAGAGCTGTATTACTGAAAGGATGGGTGTCATTAAGGTCCAAAATAGCACACTATATTGAATAGCAATGGTATGGAGATCTCAAATGATAACAAAGGAGCATATTGGTAACATTAACAAGACATGTACAATAAGCTTTTTTGGTAATATGGCCCATAATTGTGCTTTAACAAGTTTTGAGCATTACAGAATCCTACCTTGCTAGAGATAAGAACAAAGCTTCTGTCCTGAAAATTATGAATTGTTTGGGCTTCTAAGCCAGCACCAAGTTCTTACAAGACAAGGGTTTCAGAGCTGAAATGTGCCACATTACTCTGAAGAGCAAAAGTAGGAAAACCATTCCAGGATGATAATCAAGGCCAGATGGGTTGAGTCTGTGAATAGGAGTATTAGAGCCTTGGATAAATGTCATCTAGCTTGCAAATTCTTTACACTGGATTTTACAAAAGGATGTTTGTGCATTACCATTAACATTGATCAACAAACAAAAACAAAACAAGACTTGTACAAAAAATATTGCCATTTTCATTCCAATCAAAAGACATGCAGAAAGCAATTGAACAGAGGATAGCCTCATAGCTCACTATGTGGCTACATAAGACTGAAGCTCAATTAATTTACTTTTCAATACTTCCACTATCACCAGGGCACATCCTGCAAATTCATTACCACATGGGCAGCATGTGCATTAATGATGGAGCTGATAACTGGAATTCAGCTGATGTGTGATGCACATGATTAAATAAATAAATAACAATACTGAACGTTTTTGCAAGAACTGCAAGGATTACATTAAGGATTTAAGTTTTATTGCAAGTAGATATCATGTAATGTATATATAGTACGTAATAAAGCTGATATTTTACCTATCATTTGGTGCCAATTCTGTCACACAGGCTGCCATACTATTACTAATGTCGTGATGATATATGGTGGTTCAAATGTTTTCATCTAAAGAATCACCATATTATCAATTTAAATTTCAATAAATACAAGTTTATTAACTAATTAAGATCAACTTACAACTTTCCTCTGTACCACCACCAGTTTTTGAACTGAAGAAATTAACATCAACAAAGATAACAATTAACATACCGGTTCGCACATGTTAGTCTCTGCCATCTTGAGAATTTTGGCGTTCTAATGATATAACATGTAATAAACGATCTGCCATATCTTTCATCAGGCCCATATTTGTGCAAATTGTCATTCAAAACTAATATGGGCTATTTCAGGCCCTTATTAACACCCATACTTTGCATTTAGTTTCTTCCAATATGGCGGCCTTTCACCACGATGACAAGAAAGTTAGGCTTAAGCAAGAGCGTTAATCATTAATTTTACAATTATGTGTTGATTTTTTCACAGTTATTATAATATTTTCCATTCGCATTGTGAAAACACAATCATAACCCTCATTACTTGGAAAAAGTAATCAAATGTATGAACATTAAAAACAAGTAAATTACTTCGCACATTGTAAGAACTTACATGTGACTCCTCCTGGCGCCAATGTATAGACAAGGTGGTTGTAACTCAACGCGTGTTTTCGGAATTGCAGGAGTTGTGAACAAGTTAATGCAGTAAACACAGCGTATTGGTTATACAAATTCAGATGGCGCTTTGGTGAAATATATGTTCAGAGAAAATTGTATTAGCACGTGTATTTAAAAATCAAATATAACGTATATTGATTAGAACAAAATAATATGGTTCAGACTAAGTGATACATTTTGAAAAAGTATAAAATAAAACAATACTTATCATTAATAATCCAAACATAACATTATTTCATGCAAATGGTATTTTGTAAATGTCTTATGACAAGTAAAATTGTAATTTTTTAGTTATATTCAATACCGACAATTGCTATTTAACTGTAAAATAAAAGGCGCGTCTAATGATCGGTATATGCATTTTTAATTGTTAACAGACAATAAATTTTAATATATGCGGTAACGTAAAGTCAGTAGTTGTGCCTTCTTTCTATTTAATTTGTCCCCTGAATGGATAGTGTTAATTTCCTGGACTTATAACACTAACATCCGGAGTTTGTTTTTATGCGGTGGACACAGATAGTCCAATGTGGCTTTGCTCAAAAACAAACAAACCTATTTAATTTTATCAAAATTAAAGACCTAACTATGGTTTGTAAATTCTTATTATTAGTATTTGTTTATTACCAGTGAAAATAAAAGTATTTAGAGCGAGTATAATCATTTTACTTATTTATTGCTGATTATTACTGTCAATACCTGAGATACATTCAGAGCCTTGATATAATATCATAGCTAAGCACGACATTATATAAAATAATCTTTACGATGGCCTAGTAACACCCCCTTTCACTACAGGGAGTAAATTCAACTTTGGTAAATGCAACACTATAAAGTGAAGTTTTCGCGAAACAAATAGTAGCACATCTATAGGTTATAATACCAATTGATCAAAAATTAAATGTAAGACATGTATGAGTTAACATACACACATATATCCATCTCAAAGTCAGATATAAAAAAATACATGCTTGAGGTGTCTGTTGCCACCATTTAGTAGCAAACCGGATGAACTTTGCAATATATGTCAGTGCTAAATCTTGTGTACTACCTTCAAATGCCACCTAAAGAGTTAGAGTAATACCAACTCATTATATTACAAAAATAAAAGTAATCACAGATGAAATAAGCAGAAGTAACCTTTCTGACATTATAATTCATCCAGATTACATGTCATGGTATCAACCACAAAATACACGCATATATATATATATATATATATATATTGCATTGCCCAATGTAGCAAAAGTACCAGGGATTACATCAAAATTACTTTTGTCATCTTAATATAGTACACAGCCTTTATGCTTTCCTCATTAATTTTACCATCTTGGGGTCTTAAAATCCCACTACGTCAGTTAAACACAAAAGTAGTTCTGATAAAAAAATCTATCAAAATGTTATATATTGTATCAAAACGTATACTGTCCATGTTGAGTTTCTATGCTGTGTTAGAGCACAACTCCATTACAGCATTAAAGAAAGACTGGCACATGCTAACAGATGCAATCTCGCGTGATGACACAACGTTAAGTTACACCAGCTTATATGGGGGTAGCTACCTATATTCAAAAATGCACATAGTTACACATCTTTTCCTTTTTTTTCTGTCAAAGGAGTGTTCAAGTTCACCAGATACTTTTATCATAGGAGTAAATGTAAAAATTATGTTGTAACGTTGTTCTTTCGTTGGCAGGTTCGTAAAAAAATTATCTGGTGAAAATAACTCAAAGGCAGACCACATAAACAAATTAGTTAGTTTATTCATCGACGCTTTTAGTTTTCTTCATATGTACACAGTTGTAACACTGAAGGCATAAGGAAATACCACGCTAATTTGTCTATGACTAACGTAAAAACCAACTTACTTGTACAATAAAATACAATGTACAATATCGCTAACACAGGTTCGAATACGTAAACACATTGACTAATTCAATCTATAAGATTACCAACATAACTCATTGACTGGCTCACCCGAATGTATAAGCTAACTTTGAAAGTACTAGAAAGCTTGACGCCAAATCTTCTAGAAACCCCCAGGTATTCCAGACCTAGCTCTATAAACCTTTCAATATTAACGCCATCATTTGGACTCACAGCTCTCTCTAGCAAACAAATAAATTATAATATTAAAAATATAACTTATAACACTGCTCCATTCCTGGATTGTGCAATCCCTTTAATTAACAATCCTAGTACAAAAATTAAATACTACAGTAAAATCTCTATACACCTAAGTCTTCTTGGTGGTTTTCTCTTCCAAATTTTATGGTATCAAGAAGTGAAATACCTACACCAGAAGTTATTAGCAATAAATCTTCCTATAGTGATTGGATCATAGTGGAACCAAATACTCTGGAATCTTCTGAGGGACTTGTGGCTGGAAGGGCTCTCTTGGATGTAAAGAATAAAGATGTTGTACATATCTTTATCCAGTGAAAACTTGAATCATCTTGTGGTAAAACAAAAAGTTTGTTTGTTTGTTTGTTTTTAATTATGCACAAAGCTACACAAGGGCTATCTGTGCTCTGCCCACCACGGGTATCGAAACCCGGTTTCTAGCGTTGTAAGTCCGCAGACATACCGCTGTGCCACTGGGGGGCAAAAACAAAAAGTAGTTATGATATAAATTCTAATAAAACTAAATTTCATTGAGGCAACATGAAGAGCCTGAACATTTCTCGTCACAAGAAAAGACAAATTATATAGTTAATCAGGTGTTCAGAGAATAGGCTATCCAAGTCAAAGGTTGTCTATCATGATCATCTTTGGAAGTACGTTGGTGAGTGGTCTGTGTAACTCTAGAGTAGAACTTTTCAACAGAGAGTCAACCTGCTAAGAAGCTCAGAGTTTCCATCAAGATTACTTCCAGATGATCATCAAGAATGGAGTTGTCAGTGGATTCGCTCGACCACATACTTAAAGTGAACTCTCCTAGTGACCATTGTTCCTGTTCCCACTGGAAGTTCAACCTCCAGTGTAGTTAGGGTCGAACAATTGTAGCTGCAAATCAGCACACTGTAATGTTTTCCATCAATAAGCCCATGGACTTGTGTACCATTTTTCTCAAATAATGAATTTCTTTTCTCATTTTGAATAACTGGAGTATTTCCAGCTGAATTTCACCACATAAATACAGATAATTCCTGTTTTCTTCATACCTCGTTTGCTTTATTTTGTTCCTTTGATCTGGTTGGGCTCTGTCCCTTCGGCTAAGTAACAGCTGTTGACTTCTTACAGTCTCGACTATAATAGCCAGACTCCTCATGTCTATTTGCCTCTTTCTGGTATTCCCTGAAAAGAGCTCTTATTTCAAACAGGCCTTTGCATGAAGTTCTTGGCAATATGTCATTTCAAGCTACACTTGAAACATCTATTGCCCTGTGACTTCTTTTCTCTGCTCTGTTTTACTAGTCGTCTAACTAATACTTTCAGTTCTTCTACAATATCAGTAGAGAAAACTGATGTTTCATGATTCAACTTCATTGCCAACTGTAGAGCTTCTAATAAGTATGTACATCTACTTTGCTTCAAATAATTATAATATGTTGTGGCATCTATAAATTTGTCACATGCCAACAAATACATCATTGAACGACGATCATCCTGGTAAGATAATTGGACAAGCCTTTCCAAATATTCTGGTCTAAGATCTTTTCTTTCCTTTGCAACCTATCCCAGAACCCTGGTGCAACACTCCAAACCTGATGGACAAGGTGGCTATTAATACTTAATAGTTGTCATAGCTCTCAGCTGAAAGGTTATTCAATGTTATTAAAGTTGGTTCTTTTAAATAGACAATAGGATGGATAACTTGTTCCTCACTATTTCACTCAAACTAAGCCTGGCATGACTCCCATGATACATTCTCACCAAATAACATTTGTTTCTTTATTCGCTAATGTTGAATTGGCCAAGTAAATTTGGAAACTTTATTTAACAGTGTCATGGTAGGAAAAATTTAGGAAGGTCCTTCAGTAATACGTGGCACAAAAGTAATGGTAACAGATGCACATCAAATAAGTTGTCCTATTGCATATTTTGCCGAATATGGTGTTTCTGGCTGGAATTCCTGACTTAATACAAAAGTATATATGGCTGGTTTACTCTTTGTATTTAATAATTTATTTTTCATATGTTTTATTTTGTCACCTATGTTCTTTTCTACCTCAGTGATGTTTTTTTTTATCCCACTTTTGACTTCACTAATTATGTCGTTACAGCCTTGAAGTAATTCCTCAATTTTGTCATCATAGTCCTTTCATAATTTTTAATGTTATTGCCGTAATCTCTCTGTACATCTCGATAGTTTCATTGATTTTGTCTTGTCTTCAATGAGAAATATTTTTGATTTTAATTCTTCTTTACATAGTATATCTCCTTCTTTTAACTCTTCTCTTAAATACCTGTCACATTTTTCTTGGTCTTCTTTTATTTATTTCTTCTAAGTTTCTATCTTGTTCTTCTTTAATTTTTTATCACTTTTTTGTCTTTTCTTAATATTTTCACAAATTTTAGTAATGCTTGAATCTCAATATTTGATCACTGGTCGCCATCCTCAACATTTGACCTGAACTAAAAGGAAAGTTCTATTTTTTTACCAAAATAATTCTACACTTGATACTAGTGTTGTTGGCGAGTTCATTACATTATTTAGAGAAAATAATGGTCCACATAAGCTATGACAAATTAATTTATTTATTCTTTTACACGCTTACAAGCTTCCTTCACTTGTACACTGTTGTAACAATGTAGGCTTAAGGAAATACTACGCTACTTTGTCTACAACTAATTTAAAAATCAACATACTTCACAAAGTATTGTTACGACAGCGGAAGTCACGTGATCTAGAAACACGTCATGATCTTCTAGAACGTTCATATCCCTTCCTGAATGCTCTAGTGTTTACTAGATTCGGTATTCTTTTATATATAAGACGGTCAAGAAGTGA